AACAACCTAGAACCTTTTAAATAGATGTGTGAGTAACTTGGAGTTTGTGGGAGGGGATCTACATTTTATTTAAAAATTTGAAGCTTTTATATGTGAAAGTATCAGCTATTTCTACAGGGTCCTTTATGCATAAGACCAGTCCATTCGGTACTCAGTATCTTTAAAGCATGTATGAATACCTAGAGTATCCTTACTTTTCTTTTGGCATATTTAAGGCTACTTGAACATTAATATCCACAACAGATGAATATTTGCTCAATCACTTGGACTTCAGACATCTGTATTAGTGCTCAGGAGCCTGCAGGGTGTGCCAGAGCCTGGCACTGGCATCAGAGGGTGACAGAGTGTAGTGGGTTGACCTTGGCTGTACACCAAGTGCCCATCCAGTTGAGCTATCCTATCCTATCACTCCCCTTCCCAGCCAGAAAAAGGGACAGAGAATAAGATGGAAAACGATTTGTGGGTTGGGATAAGGGCATTTACTAAAGCAAAAAAAGTAAAAACTTGTGTATGCAAAAGCAAAGAGAAAAATTAACAAGGTTTATGCTCTACTTTCCACCAGCAGCAACATTCACCACTTCCTGGGAAACAGGGCTTTCAAAACACAGTGGTTTCTTAGCAGGCGGCCATTGGAAACAATGAATGACCCCCTTCCTGCTCCTTTCCTTAGCCTTTGTATCTGAGCTGATGCCATATGGTATGAAATATCCCTTTGGTTAGCTTGCGCCAGCTGGCCTACTTGTGTCCCCTGCCAGAAGGAATGTTACAGTGCTGATGCTGTGCTCAGCAGTAGCCAAAACACTGGTATATTATCAACAACCTTCTAGTTACCAATGCAACACACAGCACTGTGAGGGCTACTGTGGGGAAATGAACTCCAGCTCAGCGAGATGAAATAGAATCTCCACCTCTTATTCCATAGCATTTGCTTCATACTCAGATCCCACATTATATATATATATATATTCTGACTATCTCCAGTGCTTTCATAGATAGATATTATTTTTTCTACTTTATGGCCTTCTTCCACCTCTCCAGATCTTGGGCTCCATTCTATCAGGATGGGTACTCAGGACAGTAGAAGTAACACTGTCATTGGACACCAGCCCAGCTCAGGTCACTATCACTCTTCTTCTTCCTCGCAAAATTCGCTCTTCATTGTCCTGCTACTCTACTTACTGCAACATACAACTTAAACACATATTATCTTTCCCCTAAGGTTAAATCTCCTTGAGATGCACACCAGGTCTCCCCATCTTCACGCATTACCCACCAGGTACATCCTGGTCTCTGAGCAAAGACAATCCAACAGATGGGTTTGCCTCTCCGCATGGGAGGAGAAACCCACAGCAGCGCCAGTCACAGGGCGGTTGGCGGATCCTCTAGTGTTGATCAGCCAAGTGGCTTCAGCTAAATTTGCCTCCCAATGCTTCCATGTCCCATTACCTGACGCTCTTAACATAGTCTTCAACAGTCCATTATACCTCTCAATCTTTGCAGAGGCTTGTGGGTGATAAGGGATGTGGTATATCCACTCGATACCATGTTTCTTTGCACAAGAGCTTATAAGGTTATTCTGAAAGTGAGTCCCATTATCTGACTCAATTCTCTCTGGGGTCCCATGTCGCCACAGAATGGGCCTCTCGAGGCCTAAGATGGTGTTTCAAGCAGTAGCCTGATTTACAGGATATGTTTCCAGCCTGCCAGTCATTGCCTCCACCATGGTATGTAGCTCTTGCTTTGGCATTTGTGGCAATGGTCCAGTGTAGTCAGTTTGCCAGGCCTCACCATACTGGAAATCCAGCCACTGCCCTCTATTCCAGGGAGATTTTACTCGCGTGGCTCGCTTGATTTCCACAAGTTTCATACTCGTGAATAACGTGTGTGATGGCCTCCATGATCATGATGCCGAAAAACTTCGGTATGACGAACTGCTCAGTCTTTTGTATCTTTAAGCAGCAAGGTATTTGTTTATTCAATGTTGGCAACAAGCCAGGTCATGCTGGACAAACGTGTTCAACTTGAAAGTGCAAAACTAAGCCATTTTATACACTTCAGATACATGGTTACATCATTTATTATACATATTAATAAGTAGGCTAGTCTCTGAGTGGAGTCTTTCCAGGCATATGCAGTCTTCTACTCTAGGGGTCTTTTCCTCAAGCCTTCATCCCTCTGGTGGTCACCATGGATATCTTCCTCAATTTGATCTCTTCAATCTTCTTTGTTAGGTGACCTGAATTCGTCAAGCTTGCAAAATCCTGGCTTTGGGACTTCTATATCGTATTCAAACGTCTAGTTTACCTAATTTATTAGCATGTATATACTACTCCTATTCTTTCTATAATAAGGCCTTTGGTCCCATGAGCAGAACAGAACATGATATTAACCAGTGCTCCTAAAATGTTCTAGCAAAACAGGTATTGGGGTTTCTTAGCAGGCCAAGATATCTCAGCTAGGGGGCGGAACTGACGGAGCACACGCGAAAAGTTTGTGCGCCGTTCTTCCACGCGGCGTGCGTTCCCGCGTTCGTCCCCTGCGTGCCTCAGCCCCGTGCGCGCGCAAGCACCCTTCCCCCCCACCATCGCCTTGTTGCAAAGACCGCATGTTCCCCACGCCGCTTTTCTCCCTCCCACCGTGCCTGTTTTTCTGGGGCTTGTCCTTTATCAGGGATTTTGAGTTGGATTTTTTATGTTTTCGTGGTGATTCTTGGAGGTTTTCACTGGGACTCGTAATGTTGCGGTCTTTATATGATAAAGAAATGCAGTCCGCTCTTCGTGAGGTGGAAATCAAAGAGGTTTATTTCAAATTCAGCGCTTCCTTTTATCCCCTAAAACCATGTGACCTTCTAACCAATGGGGTTGTCTGTCCCTGCGCATGTCCCCTGGTTCCCCTGCCCCTGGGACATGCCTCCTACATCACCCCCTTCTCACGAAAACAATGCAACAACAACAATGCAAACAATCAGAACAGTACATTGTAAACTACCAAAGCTTGCAATGACCCAGCACATCGCTTGCTTTGGCCTCTTATACATCTATGGTAAACTTTATAAAACTTTCTTATATTCCTAAAGGGTAGTGCAACTTGAAAAAATAACTTTATTGACTTAGGGGTCTTAGCTCAACCGTGCATACTTATAATCTTTATTAATCTGAGGGTTTTAAATAACTGGGGAGTTCAACTTTATTTAAGAAACAGGCTAAGCTTAGCAAAACTAAATTCTCCTAAAGTGACCATGTGGCGGAGGTAGTGTTATTTTTGTGAGGTGTTTTTGTGTTTAATACGCTTGTCCAGTCAAACAACTCTCTTACTCATTCACGCTCTCATTCACTGACAACCATCATTCCATTCATCACACACAGATTCATAGATTTTTTACAGACTGCTTTTTGCCACACTGGTCATCCTTAAATGTAAACCTGAAGCGTAAACATAACTCTTTTATAACTTCTGCATTACTCTGGTTCTTGCTGCTGTGGTTGTGTACCTAGGTAGGGTCTAACACACCTGGAAGACATCCATTTAAGCTCTTTTCCTGCAGCCACAGAGGCATAGCCTCGTCCCCAAGTGACGAGATGTAACAGTCCCATTCACTGCCCTGAAATCAAATCTCTTACCATGACTGGTAAGAGAGGCGAGAGCCTGAGGCTTGTGCTGCCTTTCGTACCTGCTTCTTTCAGCGCTGTCACAATTTAAAAAATTGATAACATACGTGGCTTTCCACAGATGTTCTTGCAGGCTACAGACTGATTCCTGCCACGGTCCGCAGGGAAAAGAGAAATGGGACCGGGCACTGCAATAAGGGTTCTCAGCACAGTCGAGGGTTAGTGCAGCAATGCCACTTTATTCAGGGAGAACAAGGGTTTAAATAAAGTAGGTCTGAGGGGCGGATTCTAAACTGGGGAGGCACAAGAGATTGACAACTCAGGGAAAAGTGTGATAGGGAGACAGGGGAAAGGTGGGTGGAACTCCCGGGTCTCTAAGGGAATGGGCCAATGGTAGCTCTCCCTGCACTGTGGCAAACTGTAACCAGTCAGCGGCAGAGGAGCGGGAAAGCACGGGAGGACAGGGTGACAAACAACTTTTGGAGGGAAAATCTAAGGGAGAAATGGGGACAATATGGAGGTATGACAGAATTCATAAAATTTAACAATAAACTGGGGTGCATAAGATTTCATAAACACACAACAATAGACTGGGGAAAAACTGTCAGTCTGGTAGGTGAATTATCCAGTAAGTAACAGGTCCATTTAGATCCCATTTATGCTTCTCCAGGCAACATATCTTTCCCATTCTGTCTTCTCATCCACCACAGATTCTCCCTTTTTTTGTTTAGCTAACATGTCTTTCAGTGTGCGATGTGCCCTTTCCACGATTACCTGTCCAGCTGGTGAGTGTGGGATACCTGTGACATGTGAAATTCCCCATTCTGACAGGAAATTTCTTACCTTTTCTGAGATGAAAGCTGGTCCATTATCAGTTTTGATCTGTTTTTTGGGGTACCAAGGGTAGCAAAACAACTGAGCCAGTGCCTTATCACATCCTTGGCCTTTTCCCCTGTGTGTGCTGTGGTAGTTATTTTTGTGAGTGTGTATCTATGGATACATGTACATATTTTAACGTGCCAAATTCGGAGATATGTGTGATATCTGTTTGCCAAATCTCATTTGCCATTAACCCTCTGGGGTTAACGCCTTCCTGAGATGGCATGGGTGTGATTTTCTGACAGTCTGGGCATGACATGATGATGTCTCGAGCCTGATTGAGTGTTATCTGAAATTGTCTCTTCAGAGAACGTGCATTCTGATGGGAAAATGAGTGAGACAATTTCGCTTGCTCTAAGACTCTAGATATGGTGTTAAACTTAGCTGCTTTGTCAGCCTCTCAGTTTCCGTCAGCTGTTGGCCCTGGCATGTCAGTGTGTCACCTTGTGTGCATTATATAGAAATCAAACCTTCTGTGATTCACAAGAAACAAAACAGAACGCATTTCAAACAAGAGGTGAGGGTTAATGATATCTAGAAGAAACAAACTCTCGAGACGGGAGACTAACTATGCAGTATAACAGGAATCGGTAACAATATTAATAGGTTGTTCAGAAAAAATTTCCCTAAGGCAATGCAAATGGCAGCCAGTTCCAGAACCTGTACAGAAACTTGGTTCATGGTCTGTACCTCTCGTTCCTATTGTCCTGTGTCAGGATTTACCCAAGTCATTGCAGCTTTTCGTGTTTTTCCAGATGCATCTGTGAAAACCGTGAGGCCTTTCACTGGTTCATGTTTGCGTCTGGTTGTGACCTTTAAAGGTAAACTACCAATTTCTGCCCACAATCTGTGTTTAGGGAGATGTATTGAAATGTCACCATCAAAGCTTGCCAGGGCAGCCTGGAATCCTGCGTCCTCAGCTAGCATCCAATCGAAGTTGTCCTTTGTAGCTGGGATGTAGATGACAGCAGGGTCTCTTCCATCTAGTTCTTGTAGTCATCCTCTGCCTTTAATGACAAGCTTGGCAAACATTTCATTAGTAGTCCACACAGTTTTAGGTGGTGTGTGGGGCAGAAACAGCCATTCTAAAATTTGTAGTGGGTCTTTCTCAGTCTGATCCCACTGAAATAAAACTGCAAATGGCTGGTACCTGCTGGGAACAAGGGCCAGGCAGATTTGCAGTTCAGGATTTCTCCTTCTGCCTTGTCTGCCCTCTATTGCCTTGGCACAAATGTCCAACGCCTGCTTCGCCTCTGCTGTCAGAGACCTGTTAGACGTTAGGCTGCAGTCCCCCTTTAGCAGCTTAAATAGAGGGTGTAGCTCCTCTGTGGTTATACCTAAAACAGGCCTTAACCAGTTGATGGCTCCCAGAAGTTTTTGCAACTCATGTAAGGTTAAAGTGTTTTTTACCTCAAGCTGCGGTGGTTGTGGAGAAATTTCCTGCTGCGTGATTTTCCATCCAAGTCCAGGGCTGTGAACGCTTGATCTTCTCTGGAGCAACTTGTAACCCAGCATCTTGGACAGCTTTGATTAGAGCAGTAATAACAAATGACAGTTAATTTCCTGTAGCCGTGGTTATTAGTATGTCATCTACATAATGGTGTATGATGGCTGTTTGATTTCTCGTCGGGCTACTTTGCATTCCCTGAGGAAGGACGACCCAGCAATAGGTTTGCATGGGCTGTGCATTGTTCAAGGCCGTGATGGAAAAAGCAAGCCTTGGCGCATTCTCAGGGTGTAGGAAGATGGTAAAGAAACAGTCCTTTAAATCAATTACCACTAGTGGCCAATTTACTGGGAGCATAGTGGGTGAGGCAGTTCTGGCTGCAACACTCCCATCGGTTCTATGACTGCGCTTACTGCCCTTAAGTCCTGCAGCATCCTCCACTTTCCACTTTTCTTGGGAATGCAAAACATGGGAGTATTCCAGGGGCTGTTTGTTGCCACAGTATGTCCTGCTTCTAACTGTTCCCTCACAAGCTCTCTTAAATGTTCAAGCCATTCCTTTTTCATAGGCCATTGGTCCACCCAGACTGGCTGCTCACTTTTTCAGACCAGCTTAATTGGTACTTGGGACGGCTGACCAATGGCCCCTATTGAAAAACCTGGCTGCTTGCAGGAGGAATTTGCATGACTCTGCCAAACTGCCTGAGAACATCCCTCCCCCACAGTGTACACGGAATGGGAGCAACAAAAGGAGCTACCTTGGCTATTTGTCCCTCTGGCCCCAAGACAGTGAGTACTTGGGCACTCTGGGCCTTTGTGTGCCTCCTACCCCCTGAATGGTTGCAGCTGGGCAAACAGTGGGCCAGTTAAGTGGCCATTCGGAGTCCTTTATGATGGAAACATCAGCTCCCGAGTCCACAAGGCCTGTAAATCGGTACCCATTAACTTGGCACGTCATGAGCAGCTGTGTGGCTGTGATGGCTGCTGCGCAGTAAACTTGTGGCTGTCCTGTGCTACCGAAGACCCTTTAACCCCGCTCCCCCTCCCCTGCAGGTGACACACTGTAGAAGGGGATTAGTTGGGTGATTTTCTGTCCCTTTGGAATGAAACAGGGGGGTGAAGGGGTCCAGGCTGTTATTAGAATCTCACTATGAGAATCTGAGTCTATCACTCCAAGCAGCACAAATAAACCCCTTTTGGTAGTGGAGGACCTTCCAATCAGTAGTGCATATACCCCTGGGCTAAGGGGACCCCAAAGCCCAGTTGGGATTAGTACTACCTCTGTGGAAGTTATGAAGACTGAGTCCTGGTTGGATAAGTCCAGCCCAGCGCTGGCTGAGGTGGGGGGGGGCACAAATTGCTAGCCTGTTCCCTTGTGTCGCATTTCACACAAACATACTCCTGAGTTCCATGTCATTGTGTTTTAAACTTTCTTTTAGTAACATGTAGTGAATAATCTAAAATCTTTACCTTCTAGAATTATGTGCTTAAGTATACTAAAAAACTGTGCTTTAATAAGACTAAAAATACTGTTCTTTGATAACGCTAAGATGTGCTCTTAATGATGCTGACAAAACTGTTATATGCAACACCTTCTAACAGTGCTAATATTACCTACAGCAATGTTAGTCCTGATCTGAAGAATCAACTTCTTTCCAGGGCTTAATCCATCGGGCCGGTACCCATCGAACACCTGTGTCCGTTAAGATACAAGCATAGCCTCTTCCAGTCATCTTCACTTCTACAGGCCCTTTCCATTCCCCCTGTTTGTGGATCCTTATATTGTACTTTAACTACTACCTGTTGACTGTTGTTATGAATAACAATGGGAGGGTCCGTTCTAGTACCCATCAGCCACGAAAAATTCAGCACATATAACACTTTTGCAAGTCGGTCATGTGGACTGGCTAGCTCTTCTCCCCCCTTCTGTTTTTGCAAAAGTGTTTTCAGAACTCCGTGAGCTCGTTCAATAATAGCTTGACCTCTAGGAGAATGAGCAATACCAGTGACATGAGAAATACCCCAATTCATACAGAATCTTTGGAAACGTTGTGAGGTATAACCAGGTCCATTGTCAGTTTTAAGTTCTGTGGGGATCCCTAGGGCTGCTATGCATGCAGGTGTCGCGCGACGGAAAGCTCTAGACACCTCAATGTGAGAATCCAGGAACTTCGTTTATTGTAGATTGACAGCAGCTTAATATACACTCTATAATAGGTTCATGAATATTACAGAGATTAGGCTCATTACTGGTACTCAGTTAGGTGATGATATCATCTTAACTGCCTTCCATTGTTTACACAGATGGCTCGTTAAGTGTCTTTGTTTTGGTAATGCCTAGCTCCTGTTTTTCAGCTCAGTTTAGAATACCCAAGGATGCTGCCGCTTTCTCACGGCCCTGCTATCTCAGACTTTCTCATGGGCCTAGTCAGACTGCGTCTTATACTTTAGCAGTTCATCCATAGCCTTAGCCATGTTCATATGTCCTCGCATTTCTAACCAATCCTCTATAATTCCCCTGTTTTTATTTTGGGCCAACAATGCTTTCTTTGTCGTAGTATTTATACATCTAGTAATACAAGANGAAGGCCTCTCCTCCTTTCTTCTTATAGTCTGGCTTACATAAAAATCGTAGGAAATACTGGGTAAATCTGGACCCTTCCTTGGTTACAAACTGGTCACCAAGGAAAGCCTAGCGCAAACCACCACAAATGATCAATCCAAACTGCTGTAGAGACTGTCTAGTCAATGTTTCTAATTCACTCAGTTGCTCCTCCTTGCTGGCCACAAGCAATATGTCATCCATATAATGAAAACAGTAGCATTCTGGGAAATGTTCACATACAGGTGACAACGCTTGGGCTACAAACCACTGGCAAATCGTGGGCGAATTTTTCATGCCCTGGGGCAACACCTTCCACTGGTATCTTTTGGATGGTTCGGCATGATTGATTGATGGAACAGTAAAGGCAAATTTCTCTTTGTCAGATGGTGCCAATGGAATAGTGAAAAAGCAGTCTTTTAGATCTATGACTACAATGTTCCAATCCATAGGAACCATTGATGGTGCCAGGCCTGGCTGTAAGGCTCCCATTGTTGCCATTACAGCATTTACCTGCCTCAGGTCATGCAAAAGTGGCCATTTGCCAGATTTCTTTTTGTATTACAAAGACAGGGGTATTCCATGGACTATGGGAGGGCTCAATGTGGTCAGCAGCAAGTTGTTCTGCCACTAACTGTTGCAGGGCCTGCAATTTTTCTATTGGCAGGGGCCACTGAGGAACCCAAACTGGATAACATGTCAGCCAAGTTAAAGCAAGTGTAGGTTGACGAACACCCTGCAAGACAGTGGCCCCTGTTAAAAATCCGTTGTAATTTTCACCCCCCATTGCTCCAAGCAATCTCTCCCCCAAAGAGTCAGAGGTGCTGTAGTGACATAAGGCTTTACAGTGGCTCTCTGCCCTTCGGAGTTGAAGATTGCCAGAGGCGACTGAGACACATGGCTTTGAGCAGTCCCTCCCAATCCAACCACCCCCATCCCTGTGTTTACAAGTGGCCAGGACAGGGGCCAGGAACGCGGAGAGATGATGGTCACATCTGCCCCGGTATCCAATAAACCCATAAGCTGTATCGAGGATGGCGTGCAGGTCTTGTTGAAGATGGTGCAAGTCATCTGCGGTCGTTGTGCAGAGACACTTTGGGACCAGAAGATTTGAGGTGGTCCGGTCGATCCAAATCCTCCAGACTGTCGCTCTCGTTGCTCTGTTCTAGGAACACAACTCACAAAAGGTGCAAGCTGAGCAATGCGAGTCCCTTTTGGTATAGTCACTGGAGGATAAGAAGTAGACACCATTGCAGAGATCTGCCCTGTGTAGTCAGCATCAGTGACACCCACACAAACATCTAACCCAGCTATGATACTGCTAGATCGTCCAATTAACAGTGCACTAAACCCTCTTCCTATTGGACCATGAGCGTCTAGTGGCACCGTGACAACATCTCTTGTTGTTAAAGTTATTGTGTCGGCTGTGGATACATCCATGTCTGCTGATCCATGGGTTTTTCCGGTGAGGCGGTCACAGAGGGATAAGCCATCGGGGCTGTTCTCATGTACGGATTTGGTGGATGAGGTACTTGTGTCCCCGCATGCCTCATCGCGCTCTTCTTCCCATTTCCCTGCAGCAGCTGTCCGTTGACATGATATTTTGATCAACGCACTTTAGAAAAGTGCCCTGTCTTTCCACATTGGCTACAAGTAACTTCTGCCTCTGTTGTTTTATTTTTCTGCTTGTTCCCCTTTTGCTTGACTGGCATTCAGCCTTAAAATGTCCTTGCTTTCTACACCCATGGCATTTGGGATTAGGT